AGGATGTGGGATGTGAGTTTGAGTGTGGATGTGGATGTAAATGTGGAGTGTGGATGCGGGTGTGGATGTGGGTGTGGGATGTGGGTGTGGGATGTGAGTGTTGGTAATGTCTTCTCTCATATCGACATCCTACATCCACTCCAACAATTGCTCTCACACTCATACCCACACCGTGACACATTATCAAAGTTCTTACGATTCTTTTATTTTAAGACTGACTTCTCCTTGACACCATCGTCATCGATCATGTTGTCATTATATATGTGCTTTATGTTCAACAAAAAAATTAATTCTTAAATATTGCAGTCAAAAAGATCAAGTACGTATGTGTGATCAATTTCATAGAAATTTATTCGTATGGAGAGGAGTCCAATATCATCTCTAAAACAAATAAGTGATTCAAATCGAACCATTATATTTGATAATTTGTCTTGTTTCTTCAAAACTACTTGTTTGCATTGAATTACAAGAAGATTATCAATTGCATGTATATGGTAAAAAAATCAGATAAAGTTGAAGATTTTTCTATGAATCTTTGTGAACTCCTTGAAATAGTATTAATACTAGCAACACAAACATTTATATTAAATAGCATTGATAAAACATTTTGATCATTTATGGAAGTAAGTCATCAAATAACATATCCAAAAAGAAAATGATTATACTCATGGAAATATTCGCCTTTTTGAATAAGAAATTATTATATTATACCAATATACTGTATGATACCATGTAAACAACTCATTTAACAATAAAACCAACATGGTATATAAGAAAATGTGATTCAACTGATAGTGGTATCGGTGGTGTATGATCAATTTTTATTTTATTTTTATTTCTCTGTCTTTGATTATATAGTTTATATGTTCTGTGGTAAAAACTACAGGAAACAACTACTGGATTTAAATAGAAAAAGGAAGAATTTCAGTCAAATAGTGTTTTAAATGTATTGTTGATATTCTCCACTACCAGTTCGAAGTGTTGATGAATAATCTCTAGCGATTCTTTCACTCGATCGATCCCAATAACCAGGATGTTCATGTGTAGTTGGATATAATGAAGATGATCGTCCCGGAGGCGTCTACAATAAAAGATATGTATAGTCTTTTTTTCGGAGGGTATTTTGTTTTTGAAAAAAGTTTACTATATCTTCAACAACACCGGCATTGCGAGCTTGTTGAACAAGCGTTACTGAATCTAAAAGTGATGACCCATAACGAGTTCTATAAGATACAGGATCTTCTGGAGTAACACCAAGATTTTCAAATTTTCGAGTTATACGTGTTTCAGCAGCAGAATAAATAACAATAGTATTAGATGGTCGTTGATATTCTGGAGCAGGAGGAGCAGGTTCAACAATTGTACGCCGTTCGGATTGAGGTCCATAGGGAATCCATCGTTCAATTATAATATCACCTCAATAGCAAAAAAACAACAATCTAGAATAAGAAGAAAACAAAAAAGAAAAATGAAGATAAGTATTTTACGTGGTCTTTCTGGAGCAGGTGGCAAACGTTCGATGATAACTGATCGTGGTGGAGGAGGTAAAGCAGGTAAGGTACGAATAGCTGAAAAAGAAAATATATTGATAAATCTAAACTATGTAATATAAATTTCTTCTTTTTTTTCTAACTTGTTTCACTAGGAATATGTCTTGGTGGTACTGGTGGTTGTTCACGTAACACAAGTGGAGGTGGTGAAGGACGAGGTGGCGGATGTTCGCGTATGACAAGTGGTGGAGGTGGTGATGATGGTCGTGCACGTACTTCTTTAATAATGAGTGGCTAAAATCATAAAAAGATTAGTAGAATTGAATTTGTAAACAATGTATTTCATTACTCCTGGTGGTGGTACAGCTGGTGGTTGAAGATATCGAACAAGAACTCGTTGTTCTAATGCTACTGGACTTGTACTTCTTGCTCGTCGAATAATTTTTGGATTAGGATCCCTATAAATATTTGTACCTGATTTTTCCAGATAACTATTGGTTTCTTCTGGACTATTTGTATTGATCACCGTATCATCAATCCATCTCCTAGTTCCATATGAACTATATTTATCAACCATATAATCCAAATCATCTTGATAACCATCTGTATATCGATATCGATCATATCGACCAGTAGTATCATCATAACGATCAAGTCCACGATTTAGTGATTCATTTGATGTAGCCAAATCATCATTACTTGTCACCCAATCACGAAGTTCCCTTCGATCAATACTAAATATGTATATGTGTATTTATTATTTAATTTAAATTTTTAATTCATACCGTCCATCTCGATTTGTATCAATGCGGTTAAATAAAGCGTCAGTTCTATTATCATATGACATTGTTCGAAATCGAGAAAATAGAAATAAATTCTTAAAATAAAAGAAAATTAATGCTCACTAATTCATATATCTATCATAAAGATATTAAACATTTGTTTTATAACATCAAGAGTATTCTTGTTCATATTCTTTTTAAATTGTTCGTAAAAAAGATTAGAAGCATTAAAAAATAAAAATGTATATAAATGATTCTCACATCGTTCTTATAAATAGTTCATGAAGATTGAAATATAATCATGAGAATATTGTAAGAAAACAAAAGAGAAATAGAAGAAGAACAGCTCTTCATTAAAACTGTTGAAGGAAAATTAGTTCATTAAAAATTCATAAAAAAAAGAATATGAAATTAGTAAAGTCATTGGTTTAACATTATTTTTTATGATTTAACATAGTGTGACTTTTTCTTATTATCATGCAAACAACTAACCTATACAATTAGTATTGCCTTTTAAAAGTGAAGACTTGACTGTTTGAAGACAACTTGACAGTATAGTCTGTTTGAGGTTGAAATATGGAACTTTCATATGTTTCTCAGCTTCAATATACTAATACGAAATAGAGAAAGTAGAAAATTAATATTTTTTCATTGTTTGTTTCTAACGAATGTCCTTATTTTTCATTTTCATTGTTGCTATGCACTCATTATTTCTCCTTTTTCTTTCTTTAATATTTTTATTATCATAAGCATCGAATTAAATGATAAATAAGTAGCGATGGAGTTAGAATGTTGGACTGGAGAGAACTAGTGGAGGAGGCTCAGTTCCCTCTTAGGAGTCTTCGGCCTCCCTTGGCGAATAAAATATATATTGCAAAAATTTTTCTTGGGAGGAGATCGGTGTCGGTTTAAGATATCGACACTCCCACTGTCACTCTCATCAGCACAACAGCTACTGCGATAAAACGTAAGAAAAAGGTTTAACAGTCAGAGAATAGGGAGATATCGAGGCCGAGTGTCAAGCGAGACTCTCGACCTTGCTAGTCTCAGCCTATGTCAATCTCGGTGGAAAAACTACAAAAATAATAACTTCGACCAAGAATGACTACCAAGCTTATCTATGATAAATAACGAGATCGAAATTAAGTATAATAGAAACTGAAACTCATTAATATCAAGGCCTAAATTAAGGATGACTGAGAGACTTCCTCTCGGCACATCTCCACTAGAGAACATTGTTAGAATTCTAACATGATAGTGAAAAATCCTTGAACGAAATGATTCCAAGCGCAAGATTGTCGTGGCAGTTAGTGGTTAGAATGTCTGTGGTTTCTTCAATGTTTACCAGAGTAAAATAAACCACTCACACAACGACAACTGCTAGGAGGAAAAAGAAAAACATTTCAAACGAAGGAGAACCCATAGTAATTCTTCATTGGCAATACTGACAGAACCTTCAGAAAAATGAATCGAAAAGCAGATTGGTATGTTTTTGTATTACCATTTAATTATATATTTTCTTCAATCTCTGCTAGTGAATAAACAAAGCACTTGCAGAATAATTGATGATGAAAATTTTAGAAAAACAAGAATATAAGGAGAAATGGAAATCCTAAGAATCCTTCAAGAGTAATACTACAAGAGTCGTCAGACAAACAAATTTAAGAGCATATTCTCGTATTTGTTGGTTCCCCTTTTCTTGAGTATTTTTTCTTTAATTCCTATTAGGGAACAAACAAGGTGCTCGTAGAGCAACTACATGAATAAAAATCAAGGAGGCAGAGAATGTAAGAGAGAAAGAAATCGCGAGAGTTTTCTAACAAGAGCACTGACAGATCTATCAGAAACTAGATAGTGTTTGAGGTTGACTCGAATACGAAATATGTTGCAAAACACGAATCTTGAATTTTGGAGAGATATGCTTTCTGTTGACAAACGAATAATTGTTCTAAGGCTCTATCATATCTCGATTTTTTTTCTAACCATGTTAAATGTTAGTAAAACAAAGAAACAATTTTGATTTTTGTAAATTGAGAAAAGTTATTTTTACATCAATCAAGTGATCATAGTTAGGGTTAGCATGAAATTTAGCGATCATAAAACTCTGCACTATGAGAAATTAATGAATCTCGATATAAACATGCTAATGAAAAATGATTTCAACTAATCGTCTAATTTTCGATATGATTCATTATCTATAATCAGGTGTATTGACAACTGTTTCACATATGGGCAAAGGAAGTAGCGTCTAACTTTTGTTTATATGTTCGTTTTACCTATCTAAAAGCGAATAAAGAATTAAGCCTTGAAAAAATTCTCATTTTGGCAAGCTATTCAGAAGGAAACTAAACATCATCTCGATAATGTTAAAATAAAACGTATGAGAGCGATTTCGATACTTAGACCTCCTGTTTGAAAGACTATTGTATAGTTTTCGCTTCTGAGACAATCTCATAAAAATATGGTTGATCTTAATACCTACGTAAAGTAAGTAAGAAAGAATAAAATAAAGTAATCTCACAAAGAATGACAGGAATGTTGTGCTTCGCAGTGCATTAAAATAAATCTCAATGCTAATAGTACTGTTTCGCTGCATTTACTTATATTATTTCTCTCTGTTCTGGAGAATAAATAAAACACTCTCACAACGACCGATAGCGAGAAACAGAGAGAAAAAAAAATGTAAGAGAAGGAGAAACGGTAAGAATACTGAGAGAGCAAAACTAACAAACTAGGCTGAAAGAAACGAAAAATAGATTGATGTGTTTTGATGTTTGCTT